GCAGAATGATGGGGAATCGGCCTAGATATCGTTTAAAACACTCCGCTTGAGAATCGGATGAGAATTGGAGAAGATATAGCCATCGCAGTGGGCCCCATAGGGGAAAACAGCATTTTCAGGGGTCCCATCAGGAAAAATGGACAAAAAATCTGAAAAATATTTTGTCTCAGGATTTTGATGCAGAATGATGGGGAATCGGCCTAGATATCGTTTAAGGTACTCCGCTTGAGAATCGGGTGAGAATTGGAGAAGATATAGCCATCGCAGTGGGCCCCATAGGGGAAAACAGCATTTTCAGGGGTCCCATCAGGAAAAATGGACAAAAAATCTAAAAAATATTTTGTCTCAGGATTTTGATGCAGAATGGTGGAGAATCGACCCAGAAATTGTTTAAAACACTCCGCTTGAGAATCGGGTGAGAATTGGAGAAGATATAGCCATCGCAGTGGGCCCCATAGGGGAAAACAGCATTTTCAGGGGTCCCATCAGGAAAAATGGACAAAAAATCTGAAAAATATTTTGTCTCAGGATTTTGATGCAGAATGATGGGGAATCGGCCTAGACATCGTTTAAGGTACTCCGCTTGAGAATCGGGTGAGAATTGGAGAACATATAGCCATCGCAGTGGGCCCCATAGGGGAAAACAGCATTTTCAGGGGTCCCATCAGGAAAAATGGACAAAAAATCTGAAAAATATTTTGTCTCAGGATTTTGATGCAGAATGGTGGAGAATCGACCCAGAAATTGTTTAAAACACTCCGCTTGAGAATCGGGTGAGAATTGGAGAAGATATAGCCATCGCAGTGGGCCCCATAGGGGAAAACAGCATTTTCAGGGGTCCCATCAGGAAAAATGGACAAAAAATCTAAAAATATTTTGTCTCAGGATTTTGATGCAGAATGGTGGAGAATCGACCCAGAAATTGTTTAAAACACTCCGCTTGAGAATCGGGTGAGAATTGGAGAAGATATAGCCATCGCAGTGGGCCCCATAGGGGAAAACAGCATTTTCAGGGGTCCCATCAGGAAAAATGGACAAAAAATCTAAAAAATATTTTGTCTCAGGATTTTGATGCAGAATGGTGAAGAATCGACCCCGAAATCGTTTAAGGTACTCCGCTTAAGAATCGGATGAGAATTGGGGAAGATATAGCCATCGCAGTGGGCCCCATAGGGGAAAACCACTTTTTCAGGGGTCCCATCAGGAAAAATGGACAAAAAATCGAAAAAATATTTTGTCTCAGGATTTTGATGCAGAATGATGGGGAATCGGCCTAGTTATCGTTTAAGGTACTCCGCTTGAGAATCGGGTGAGAATTGGAAAAGATATAGCCATCGCAGTGGGCCCCATAGGGGAAAACAGCATTTTCAGGGGTCCCATCAGGAAAAATGGACAAAAAATCTAAAAAATATTTTGTCTCAGGATTTTGATGCAGAATGGTGAAGAATCGACCCCGAAATCGTTTAAGGTACTCCGCTTAAGAATCGGATGAGAATTGGGGAAGATATAGCCATCGCAGTGGGCCCCATAGGGGAAAACCACTTTTTCAGGGGTCCCATCAGGAAAAATGGACAAAAAATCGAAAAAATATTTTGTCTCAGGATTTTGATGCAGAATGGTGGAGAATCGACCCAGAAATCGTTTAAGGTACTCCGCTTAAGAATCGGATGAGAATGGGGCCCCATAGGGGAAAACAGCATTTTCAGGGGTCCCATCAGGAAAAATGGACAAAAAATCGAAAAAATATTTTGTCTCAGGATTTTGATGCAGAATGGTGGAGAATCGACCCAGAAATCGTTTAAGGTACTCCGCTTAAGAATCGGATGAGAATTGGGGAAGATATAGCCATCGCAGTGGGCCCCATAGGGGAAAACCACATTTTTAGGGGTCCCATCAGGAAAAATGGATCAAGGATCGGCCTTTTATATGTGATATCTGCGATATATATCCAATCTTAGCCGCAAGGGTATATCAATTTCGACTCCTTCCCAAGTTAGCTTTCCTTATTGTTTTTTTTTTGTTTTGGCCAAAAAGGGAATGGCAACCTCCGTCACGTATTCGAGCAACTCGTACGCAAAAGTTATGCCAAGTTCTCAAGTCAACATTGGACTCCTCGTACTCGCAGTCGCACTCGCCTTCGTCGTCATACGACATCCTTTTCGTCCTTTCATGGTCCTGCTCCTTGTGTTTCTGGTTCTGTTCCTTGCAAAGAACCTCCATCCTATACACACTGGCAGCTACTTAATTGAGTGCACTGGCGGGGAGGGGAGGCTAAAAGGAAGACGGAGGCGTGGTTATAGCCCTGCACATCCTGCTGAGCCAAAAGCTACGTGTGTGCGGTGTATGGCCCCAGGATATTCACAAAATAGATGATGAAAATAAGGACGAACAGTCACGCATCCGAAGGGAATAGGGTTGATGGAGAAATAGGCAAAAAGGATTGCGGAATTAACCCAATAACAACCAGTTACAAGGACCTCCCTCCTCCACCCACCTCAAAAAAAAGGCAAAATATAAGTAAACTATTCCCAACCAAACCCACTTTGCTTTAAGGCTCTTATAAAGGAACTTAATCTTCTTTAAGCAGCTCAGCCGGGGGAAATCGGTCGATATTTTTTGGTTTATTAACATAGACTTTATTAACTAGAAAGGATAAGCATCCTTAAAGGGTTTTAGAGCGACTTATGTGTGTATTTTCTTTCGAATTTTGTTTCAAAAAGTTGAGATTTGTTTTCTATTATATTCTTTTAAAAAGGACATAAAAATATAATTTTTTCTCGTCACTTTATTAAACGTTATCCTCTTATAACAGGACCTTTATGCCTCTTCAAAGGTGCCTAAGATTTGGGGCCTCAACAGGTGCTCGCTGAGCCATGCACTTACCAATTAGCATATGCACTCCAGCTGTCATCCTTTTACCCCGCCAAAGGCATCCTTCCTTGTCCACCCAACCACCCACTCTTCCCCCTGAAAATCCGCCCAAGGGCAGAGGCAGAAGGCAGATTTTCTTGCCTCACTCGAGTGGCGTTTTAACGCTTCAGATGCATTTCGAGGGCGGCCTCTAAGGGGGTTAAGTCACTCACAAAAGTCCACACATGCACATATGCATGGTGGAAAGGCTGGGGGTTTTGGTAATTGCTTTAAGAGGCAACAAAAAAAGGAATCCCATAAGTCCCTGCACATCAGCTAATTCCAGAAAGCCTCTCGGAGAAAAACAAACAACAACAAAATACATAATATGGAAAGAGAAAGAGTCTTCCTCTCGTTTGGGTGAAAAAAAAAAAGAAGCCATCGAGTGACTTCCGTTTCCGGCAGCCCTAAAATCATCCAATCCCAGGACTTCCAGCCCCCAAATGCTAATCAGCTGAATAGCAAATGAGTTAATCTATATGCCACCACAAATCGATTGAATCAGTGGCTACATAACATGGCATGACAGCTATTTATGCGGTTATAAGCGCCAACAGTGTGGCAAATTACTATAAAGATGGGAAAACAATAAAGAAATATAGGATATAATAATTAAAACTTATTCTCTTTATGTGCAAATTTACAAATTGGAGGAATAGCACAGCCACACTGGTGAAATTTTAGAAAAACGACCACACTAACAACGTATGAAAGCCATTCTGTGAAATTTTACATTTTTCCCAGCAATGTGCATTTAATTTTTGGTTTATTTTCATATACCCTTGATCCTCCCTCTCCCCTCTCCCATTTGCAACCCTTCAAAACCAAAAACTCAAACTCAGGTGAAAATTCAGGTCCTGATGCTGACATGATGTATACGCCTTGTGGTGCAAACTATGGTTTGCAATCCATACATACATACCATATGTATGTGATTCTGTCATGTAAATAACTGCAGCTGGAGAAATGGAAAGAGAAAGAGCCATCGGGAGTGAGAGAGCTGTACGCGAAAAAAAAGGACGGGGAGTGGCAAGTGGGTGGGTGTGGGTGTGGGGTGGCTTTGGACATGAAAAGAATAAATAAAACGACGAAAATCTAACGATGCGTTATGGGAATATTTGCATTTGGAATTGAGAAATTTTCCCTCCATAAATGTGCGTGGGTGCAAGTCAGTGGAATCTATATGTTTGCACACATAAGTATATACGGGCGTGGGTTGGTGGGTGGGTGTGTGGTGGGCGAGTGTCCTATGTACGTGTATTACATACCAAGTTTTGTTACAGGGTGATGTTTTTTTTAAAGAAATACATACATAAGTAAAATATATAAATAAATTTTTAAATATTTTAAAAGTGGGAATAAATAAAAATATAAATTAAAAACAGGAATTAAATTATAATTTTATCCCCAAGTCTATTTTAAAAATAATTTTCAAAGAAATTTAAAGAATATTAAAGTTTTGTGGATAAGTTTTCTTAACTTTTTTATATTTTTAGAACATTATAGGGGAAAGGAAGATATAGATCTTAAAAAGAAAAAGATTAAAAATAATATGAAAACCAAAAACTGGAAAAACAAAAACTATTGAAAAAAAGGATTTTTGATTTTATTTAAAACCTAAAACAGACCATATAACTACCAAGGTCTATGAAGTATATAACCAAAAAAAATAAGTTTAACAAGAAAACCCCTCGAGGTATCAACAAAAAATGGTCTACCGGATACACATGAATGGCCCTGTATGAGTGTGTGTATTTGATGACACCGCCACCACCAAAAAATCCATGCAGCCACCCAAAAAACGCAGAACCACCCACCAGCCCACGGCCCACCGCCCATACTACTCCCGGAGCTTTATACTAAGCCAACATAGACCACCCATAATTATTTTAAAAAAAAATATGTTTCAAATGAAAATTGTAGAATTTTTAAGTACTTGAAATATATTTAAATATTTTTTAATTAATGATGGCATGATAAGCTAACGCTTTATTTATCAAAATTGTATACTTTGGATCGATGTTGAATATTATTTTGAAAAGCCCCAAGGACTTACCCCATTTTTATAGTTTTTTTTTTTTTTTTGGTATTACACATACGTCTAGTTCTAATTTATTATAAATACACAGTCGCCAAATGTTGAAAAAAAAACAATATAAAGCACAATGCTTGGATATCCAAGCTTAGGAAATCGCAAACTATGATGGTATAGTAAGGAAAACTTATTTTACAACGAAAACGACGACGACGAGGTTCTGCCTCCGCATGGAATGCCTTTGGGGATCTGGTCTAGTGGGTCTGGTTACCGGCCACAACGCCAGCATTGACCGCCGCATCGGTAACGGCCTTGAGAGCAGCCGCTGGTGGCGCAGAGGGAATCGGGAGATATCCATGGGACCCCTCCACTTTGGGCTCCGGGCTGTGGAAGAAGTAAAGCAGAAAGCCGGCGGCCAGGACAAAGTGGGCACTCAGGATTCCAATGATGAGGAACAGCGAGAACTGGGAGTTCCGCAAGGCGGGCGTCAGAACGGCAATCAGAACAGTGCCCGAGAGCAGGGCGGCGGTGATAACCAGGAGCCACTGGAGCACCGAGATCTGCAGAAGGTAAAGTAGGAATTCAAAAGATTCTAAAAAGTCTTAACAACAAAATCCCTTACATTAATCACCCAGAGAATAGAAACGGGTATGTAGATGGCCAGACTGTAGCCGTAGATGCACATCAGTGAGAGGAGACTCGGGGTGTAGCTGGCCTGCAACGATGCAACGTGAATGTGAGCGAGAGGGAACCATGCCACATGAAGCAGGACGAAAAACAACTTACGCTGTCCGTTTCAACGGCATCCGAAGCATCCACGGGCTTTAGGCTGTACTTGAACAGGGCCCAGAGTATAGCCGGCAGGATGTTGGCGTACAAGAAGATGCAGGTGGCCGCATAGGAGACCAGGTGGAAGTTGTAGTGCCAGGTGTACTTATCGTTGGCCTGCTGCAAGTAACTGGCAATGTTTCCACTTATGGCAATAGAGAAGATCTAAAAGAGACGAGAATGAAACCAAAAAGCTTTTCAAAACATAAAGAAACTACCCACCAGGGTGACGGTGATCCAGAATGGTCCGTACAAGTCTGGATTCTCGCCAATGTTCATCCGCAGATAGTTGCCAGCCGCCCTTTTCGGGATCATCGAGTTAACGATGCGCTCCAGCACCATGTAGGTATCCACGTTGAAGAACTGCTGATAATACTCGATGGTCAGGAAAGATAACTTGCCGCCTCCGCCGCCCGCTCCCGAACCGTCCAGTGATGCATTCTGCGCATTTGGCACTCCTCCGCCGGCCAAGGTCTGGGCTGAAGTGCTCATGTCGTAGATAAGATCCGCCAGCGGATCGCCGCGCTGGCGCTGGGCGTTTGAATTGCCGCCTAATCCTCCACTGGCACCTGCTCCACCCGATCCAGATCCCGATCCTCCACCGGTGGCGTGTGTTGGCGAGTTCACATTGATTTGGGCCGGTGCTCCGCCGCTATAGTCGCGAAACTGCAACAGATCGTCGGCCGTGGGTGTCTCCATTTGGATGATGGGGGGATCGTTCTCGCTTCTGTTCGTTTTCGGTAAATATTACACGTATTTTCCACTCGCCCCTAAGCCTGCTCAGCTGTTGGCTGTATTCGTCACCTAGCGATGGCCTTTTGGCGGAAATATTGTTAGAGATGTGAGAAAAATATCTCAGTATATTTATACCAAATATATATTATTATTTATTTATTTAATCAAATCTACAACATAAAATAAAAGAATATATTAAATTCTAAATTTTAAATGGCTTTTTAATTGGTAATTTGATATAGATTTCTTAATCGGGAGAATAAAGTTCTAAATCTAGCTCTTTTTAATACCGATAGCAACTGATCTTTCTCTAATCGATAGACACCGAAAAGTCGCTTGCCAGCACTGCTGTATCTTAGGCTTTGTCGTCGACCAACACTTTTTTGCAACAGCTCCAAAATCGTAAAATTTTCCACCAATTTTCTGTTTTCTTAGGGGCACTCTATAAGATAAAAATTAAAGAAGTGAAAAAACGAAGAGCACACCGTACCCCACACCCCATAAACGTGGAAAAGCAGTGATAGACCCGACCGAGAAAAAATGCCGGTGAAGAATGGTGAATCCGATGGCGAGGGCGATGTTTCTGGAGCGGAATCGGAGCACTCGAACTCCAGCCAGGCACACGACACCTCAGACGAAGAGGAGGCCAACGAATGCGACTCCGATGACTCCTCCGAGCTAGACGCCAACGAAATTGAGCGCCGGCGGGCGGAGCACATGGAGGATTTGAGTAAGCACCGAAAAAGTCTCAAAATATCCTCCACCTCCACTTCTAATCATTATCTGTACGCTTTACAGTGAGCCTGGAGCGGCAGTTTAACCAGCTGCGGGAACAGTACTACTTCGAACGCATCAATCTCATCGATCGCCAGCTGCAGGAGGTGCGTTCGGGCCGCTCCGAGGAGTTCGTTCATCCTCAGAAGGAGCTGGACAAGGTCTATCGCACCCGCATCGAGGTGGCCGATGTGCTGCGTCGATTCCGCTTGCAGAACATCGAGCACAAGTTCCTCTCCGAGGAGCAAGCAGCCGTACAGCACTTTGAGGTATGTTTTGGCGCCAAAACCTAAAGCTCTCCCATATCTTACTAACTTATCCTCCAAATTGCAGAGCGAGAAGCACATGGCAGTGGATTTCCTGCGCGAGGAGCTGGTGGAGCGTATACGTCGCCTGGAGGAGGACCGGCACAACGTGGACATCTCCTGGGCCGACTGGGGCACCGACAAGCGCCAGAGCAAGGTGCGCGGTCCGGGACGCAAGAAGGCCGTTACCGTAACAGGGCCATATGTGGTGTATATGCTACGCGACGAGGACATTATGGAGGACTGGACGATCATACGCAAGGCCCTGAAACGATCCTCCTCCACTGCCGCTGCCGCCACTGCCACAGCACCCGCAACGGCCGGAGTGCCCGGAGTCAGTCTGTCCGGCTTGCCACCCATGGCCGGGGCCAGTGGATAACGGTGGGGCGTGGCTGCTTACGCCCATCTGCGTACCTGACGGCGACAGCAGCAGAATCAGCATAAGTAGTACCATAAGCAGGAGCAAGAGAAAGAAAGAGAGTAGGAAGAGAGCTCCCACATCCGATTAATTTTAGGCGATTAAGTTAACCTTTGAAATATCCTGTAGACTTTAGTTGTCGCACCACCTTCTCACTCCTCTCCCCCCCTCCAGTCATCCAGACAATGTAATTTATGCTAAATTATAAGCGAGAATAAATGTGGTTACCAGAAGATCTAATCCTTTTAAATTGAAAGAACAGTATGGAGGTTTATTAAAGCACGATTCGGGTAACAAGGTAGTTTCAGAAGCCCCTCTCCTTGAGGTAGTCCCTGAGGAGGTCCACATGGTCGCCGTGAATGTGGATCTGGCCACTTAGTTCGTTGACCCGCGTGGCACACAGTTTTCCACTCCGCGACTTCTCCACCACCGATCGCAGATCCTTCTCCAGGGCCCAGATATCGCCTTGGACGCGGCGCACCACTGTAATTCTGCGCTGGCCGCGAAACCGGGTGTGCAGATAGACCGGTACCATGTGGTTCTTGGTCCTGGCCACGAAATAGCCCGCCTTGGAGCCGTCCTCCGTTTGCGGTCGCCAGCCAGAGGGGTAATCCTTCTGGGCCACCGGCTGTGGCACCGTCTCTGACGGTAGTAGGCGTTCTACGAAACGCCACTCGGGCGGATTGGCCACTACCTCCACCTCGGGATACTTTTCCAGCTCCTGAACCTGGCGGGAGGAGCGGAAACTGGACAGGAGTGCCGGCTGCGAGTACAGGTTCCTCGTGAACTGAAAACAAGAGGCAGTGTTTCTAATGTTTCTTGGTAGATGTACGGCAGTTCTCAACTTACTTGGGTGAGTTTTTGGCAGAGCCCCGAGCCCACCAACGCTTTTCCACTGGCTGCCATCTTTTTAATTCAGTTTGAAGGGTATTTCTATGGAAAATAAGAAATAATTCACAGCGGTTACATATGCGACCCGCTGCAGTGTTGGAAAGCGTTTTATTTGTTTTATCGATATTTTGGGAAACATCGCATACATTTCTAACGATTTCTTAAGCACTGAGAAAATGCGAGACAATAGTTATGTTATTAATTTAAAATTAATATTTCTAATAAGTTAAAAATTGTTTGCCAAAAAATATAAAATTGATTTTAAATTCAATCTTGTTTAGCCAAATTCTTAGCAACGTTTCAAATAGTTTGGGATAAATATTTTATTATTTAATAAAAACTCATAAAAAATATAAATTTTCTTAAGAAAACCTAATCCTTGTCTTATCATTAAATAATAAAATCTGACCTAAAAAAATCTACGCACATAAAGACAACAAAATTCAAATGGTTAATATGCAAATTATTTCTAAACTCTTTAGCCTCAATTTTTCTCGTATGTCGATTCGCGTGCAACAAATGCAGCCTGTGACGTCATTGTTGCCAAAGCTTTTCCATTACATACAGACGAAAAAATAACACTGCACTCACACAAGTGAGTGTGGCAAGTGCTGCATTTGAAATGCATTGCTTATACAATTTTATTGCACCGCAGCAGCTGTTGTTTGATGTTGCTTTTAAAATACCCTGTAGTTTTATATTCAAAGAGGGTATATATGTACCAATGGTTTTTAATTATAAAAAAAAGAGATATCTCTAAATTGTAAAATAAAAATGTTGATAAATAAATTTTATTTCTAAAATTACTTTTATAGAAATAATAATTTATATTATTTATCGAACTAAGAGAAATATGTCAAAATATTCAACACTAGAGTAACTTTATCGATATCGATAGCTTTTGAACACTTTTCCAGGGTATCTCTACACGGTAGCATCTTCCTTTCTGACTGCTGCACTTTTGCAAACAGCATAAAGTGTTTGCGCTGCAGCTTTTTTGCGCCAGTCGGTTTTTCACGCTCAGTTTTCGTTGCGCCGCCGCTGCGGCCAGTTGTTGCTGTGTGTGAAGCGATCCCCCCTGCCGCCGACCCTGTGCGTGATTTACCGTTTTTTCGGTTAGCTCTGGCGCGAAACTTTTATTTTCCCGAGGGCGGAAGAAAGGGGAGCCCCGAGAGTGCGAGCGAGCGAGGGATGTGCTGGGGCGCAATGGCGCGCAAGGACGATCCCGTTTTCAATGTCCGCTTCGTGCAACTCGTGGAGACCGAGCCGTGCCTGTGGAATTACAACCATCCAGGATATAGCAAAAAGGAGGAGGTGCAGGAGGCGTGGCAGCAGGTGGCTAACGAGAGCAAGGACACAGGTAACGAAAAACACACAAAACAAGCCGCATCTAAGCTCTTTCAAACAACTTTCTTTCTCTTCTAATCGCGCATTTTCATTTTCATTTTCTGCTTCTTCTTGCTCGTCCTCTTCTTCTTGCCAATTGCGTGCTCATTTCGTGTGTGCGTTTGTGTGTGTGTGTGTGTGCGTCTATGATGCAAGCTTTATGTAGTTGTATATGTGTGCGCGCACGATTTGCAAATGCAATGTGCCTATGTGTGTGTGTGTAGGTGTGTCACTGTGTCGCACAAAGTTTGCATGCTATTTTGTTTTTGCTTTTTCTATTGTTTTTCTTTTTTTTTTCCTCTCTGCTGCAACCAATTAAGTTTTCAGCAATTGCCGCACACAGTCATGACTCGTTAAAAGAAACTACAACTTTTACCGTTAGCATGGCTTAGGCTAGCGGTGCTTTACATGTGGTGTAAAGAACATGCAATACAAGCACAAGCAAACATGTTTGGACATGCAAGAACATACGCGAGAAAACATGTTTATTCGCAAGAAATCATGATGTTTTTGTTTATTTACGACTTTTGTTTGTTTTTTACGCTTTTTTTTAACCTTTTCCCTTTTAACTTTCAGTTCGAAACTGCCGCGAACGTTGGCGCACGATCAGAAGCAGCTTCCTGCGTTCGCTGAAGCTAGCAGGCACACAAACGGGTCGCGGCAAGCGGAAGTACTACCTGTCAAAGTACTTGCAGTTTCTTATTCCGTTCACCAAGTCCAGGGCCTGTCGCTTGCAACAAAACGCCAACGCTGGCGCCAGCACAGCCGGCATGGTGCTTCGCAAGCCGGGCAGCGTCTTGATGCCGGGACATGAGCCACCGGGAGCGGAAATCGAGGATGCCGAGGAGGAGCAGACCAAAGAGAGCGTGAAGGAGGAGGAAATGCCGCTGGATGTGCAGGTGTCCGAGATGGAGGATAAGGACCTGCCACCACCACCAACCGATCGCGCAGCACGAGCCACTCTAGCCACCTCCTGTCTCCCCGTCAACCTGCAGGCCATCAAGGTGGAGCAGCCGCAGCCCCAATCCCAGTCGTCCAGCCAGAATACCGGCCAGGGCAATCATAAGTCGCTCGTACCCGTTCCGGCCACCACCCTGGTGCGTCGCAATGGCTTGGAATTTGCGGGTCTGCCGCCTTGGTTCAAGCTCGCCAACAAAAGATTCGTCAGGCGGCCGGGATTAGGATACAATTGTGGGCGAGACACTGGACCTCCATCAGGAGTAGAATCGGGGACAGGACCGTCCCTGTCTTTGCCTCCGCCGGATGCCGACTACTCCTTCCTGATCAGCCTTCATCCGTATCTCAAGGAGATGAACGGCAAGCAGAACCGTCGATTTCGCCAGAAAGTTGTTGGACTAATCGATAAGGTCCTGGACAATACAGATACTTGATAAGGATTCCGTGAGAGCCTGCACCGAATACCAGAGAGAAATACAATCGAACTAAAAGCAGGGATATCATCTGATTTGAAAAACAACATATCTAGTTTGTAATATTTTCAACTTTAGGATCGAATGCATCAAACTTACAACAATATTTCTCTCTCAGTGCAGGAACAACAACATTTTTTGTAACTAATCACACCCAGTGTAACGCCAATAGTGCCCATTTGCTATATGTGTAAAGCGTATTTTTACTGAGCTTTTTGTTGTTGTTAAACACGAACACAAACACCAATTTGTTACATGTAAAATAAATATATAAATGCGGTTGGTCGACAGAATTTTTATATATTTTTAATAACAAACAACAAAGCTTTCAATAAAACAGTTACTAAAAGATATTTGAAAATGCCATCCCTAGGTATTTGAAAATACCATCTCTAGTGGGGGATTTTTACAGGCTCATCTCTAACACTGGCGATAGTTGCCGCACAGCTGACTAACCGATAGGCTCCGAACCTTCGAGCATTTGTTTTTGTGGCTTGTTGTTGTTGCCGTGCCGAGGCAAAAAAAAAAAAATAAATAAAAAAAACGGCGGCGACTCTTCCAGAATAATTATTAGCTCAACAATATGGTATAATTACATTATTTTCGCTTCAGAAAAGAGGGAATTCTAATTTGTCAGTAATTGCCACGATACATGCGCGTATTTCGCACGGTAAGTGATCGCATCGGTGTGTGCGTGTGTGTGTGAGTTCCCATGTGTTTTTGGCGAATGTGTGTGTGTGTTTGTGGTTTTTGGCTTTTTTCGTTGATTTGCCTGCTTTTTCGATACGAACGTGATGTAATTTGGCCCGCTGATAAGCGAAATCAGTTGAATAGCAACCATCAACCGTCACAGTTCTACAATTGTTCGTAAATCTGGCTTATATAAGTTACAAATCACTGGAAACGCTCGCCACACAAACACACACACACACGCACGCGACAAACGCAATATTCCGTTAGTTTTTTTGAGTGAAAGTTAGGGGGGAGTTACAATAAGAAGTTTATAAAATAAAGTGAGTTTTTAAGGAAATAATTTAAAACTAAATTTTAGTATTTAATTTTTTAAAAAATTAACAAATTTTTAATTAACCTTTTTTTTTTTAATCTTTCAAGTGCCTTTTAAATATTATCTTGTCATGTACTCCCTCACGATTAAAGCTATCTTAAGCATGACATTTTTTTTTTAAATATAAACCTTTTAATGAGTTCCCCCCCTTGAGACCTGTCCTTGGAGTATCTGAACTTTGGCATCCCAAAGTGATGCAATATTAGCATATTTTTGAGTAATATCCCCCCTTCTTTACTTTCAGCTGGTGACGTCGCTTTCCAGGAGAGCGCCCCCAGCCCCGATCCACAGAGCCAGCATCATGCCCGCAGTCGCTGCAACCACAACAACAACCACCACATCGATTGCAGCCCAGATCGCCGATAGCCCCATCAAGATCGCCCACAAGTGCCTCCATCGGCCGGAGCGCAGCATGTCCTCGGCCTCGGACGTAAATGGCTCAGGGCACTGTCCCGTAGTGCCCATCGTCTCGGATCCGGATCGACGCCGCATCCAGGTCCTACAGGACACTGCCTTTAGCTTCTTTACGGAAACCCTGCAACGGTATGGCGTCGAGGAGCTCATTTTCTGCTTCAACGGCGGCAAGGACTGCACGGTCCTGCTGGATCTGCTTATGAGCTACCTGCGCCAGGAGTGCATCTCCAGCCAGGAGATACCGATGCTGTACATCAAGTCGGGGGACTCCTTTCCGGAGATCGATGACTTTGTGGCCAGCTGCATTCGCAGCTATCGGGTGCGCCTGGTCGAGTACGACGGATCGCTGAAGGAGGCGCTCACCCACATGCAGGAGGACATGCCCAGGATCAAGGCGGTGTTTGTGGGCAGCCGGAACACGGATCCCTATTGCCAGAACCTGGCCCCCATGCAGGTACGTTCCATTGGTCATGATTTCTATCCTTTTCAACTAACCATCTCTCTCTGTTTTGTGACCAGCCCACGGATAGCGACTGGCCGCCGATGATGCGAGTGAATCCTCTCCTGGAATGGACCTACCACGACGTCTGGCACTACATCCACATCAACGCGGTGCCCTACTGCAGTCTGTACGATCAGGGCTACACCTCCATTGGCAATCGTTCCAACACAGTCCCCAATCCGCATCTCAGGCGGCCGGCGGACTCCTGTGGCTGTCCAGCTGGCGGTTCCGTCACCGCCAGCCCGCCCAGCTCCACCGGAGACTATCGGCCAGCCTGGGAGCTGGCGGACCCCAAGCTGGAGCGGGCCGGACGCCTGCCCAGGAATAGCTCATTAGCTCATTAGGCGTAGTTAGTCTCAAATTGTAAATAATTGTGTGTTTTTTTCGGATTGGGAATATAAATTAACTCATTCTGGTACGATCTACGATCCAGCTTGCTGAATAAATTAGCGACCGGACGACCGGTTGTCTTAAGCAGGCTTCACTGTGTTTTCCCAGAGGCTTAACTTAAGGATGTAAAAAGTTGAAAGAGGAATTTCACAATTTTTGTTAATTAGTTTGGTAATTAAGTAACTTAATGACTTGAATTTAAAGTCTTATCTTTAATTTTAATTAACATTCACCTTAATTAATATAATTTTAATCCAAATCTTAAACTAATCCAATTTTTTGTTTTTTAAAAAGCATGTCTTTTTAAAACATTGTATTTAAAATAAATTTAAACATTTTTAAGGGACGATTATTACTTAATTTTATAGATTATACAATTATGGATTATCTATTAAGATTTATACTTAATAGATTTAATTATTTTTATATTTTTTAAATTGATGTTTTAAACAAAACTTTAAATTTGAGCCTTTTTTCAGGGAATTGGACAATATATTTTGTAGGGACTAAACTTAACATTTATTTAAGCTAAAAGCTTATACATTTTTGTAATAAAAACCAAGCCTTAATGATTAAAAATAAAAAAATCTTTAAATAAAGTTAAAGTTTCTTTAAAAATGAATTAATTTCATTCTTAGAAGAATAATTATTCAAAATATTAATTTTAATTAAAGTTTGAGTTATTTAAACCCCTTTAACCCCTCTTTAGCGCCACCCTTGACTGACCAGTGCTGCCCATTTCTTCGACGAACAGCTGATTGGGGGAACAGCTGATTTTGCCGAAACACAACATTGCGCTTTTCTTTTTTGGCTTTGAATTGTTGTCTCTTTTTTTTGGTGTCTTTTACGTAATTTTCGTAAGCGACGCATCCATCAGCTTCCGAAAGCCCCCCACTCCGTTGGAGCACCATCGATCCAGGAGAACTGGTCTACCCACGCGATGTCGCGATCGGCGCAAGATGTGGCCGCAGTGCTGCGCGGGCTGCGTTTGGTGGCAGAGGCGTGTGGGCGGGAACACCTCAACCAGGGCCGTCACCTGTGGAGCAACTCGAGCGTGCGCGAGCTCATAGCATCGAACGTCATCGAAGCGAGTGAGTCACTGAAGCGATCTGGCCAGCAGCCCACCGAGGAGCTCAAAAAATTACAGCAGACCCTCCAGGAGACTGGAGAACGTGGCTACGTGGTCGCCAAAGGCATCTGTTCGCTGCTAGAGACGAAAATCCGTACGAACCAACCGGAATTGCAAAGCAAATCCACACCTGCTGCTGCTTACAGAGATCCTGGCCAGAGATCATCCGCTCCAGCTGCGAGGGTGGTTCGCACCGATCTGGATGCCGCCAACTTGGACATATCGTCCATAACGCTGCAGGAGTTCGAGGAGATACTCTCCAAGCGCAACCAGAACCGAAGCGTCAGCCTGAGAACCCCAACCACCAAGAGCAGTCAAAAGAACCAGGCGGGAATGGACAGGCAGAAGGAGAAGGACCACCAGCCCGATCAGAAGTCGAAGCAAGGAGCTACTGGTGATCCTGGAATCATCACCAAGGACACCCAGTACGTGGACAATGTGATGCGCTTCGTGGCGGGCGCCCAGCCCGAGGGAAAGCCGGCCACAGAGTCCTCCACGCCGCCGAAGGACGGCGTCCAGGAGCTCAGCGCAGTGGCCAAGCAGCGAAAGGTACCCTCCTCGCGCCTGGGCAGGATGGCCTCGTTCGGCGGCCTCTTCGCTGGCCTGGGCATCGGGACGCTGAACGAACTGACCAAGGGCGCCCTGGGTCTGGGCGGGTCCACCAACATGCGCGAGGCCTTCCTCAGTCCCGCCAACGCGGAGAGGATTGTGGACACGCTGTGCAAGGTGCGAGGAGCGGCCCTGAAGATCGGACAAATCCTGAGCATCCAGGACTCGAGTGTGGTGTCGCCGCAGCTGGCCAAGGCCTTCGAGCGGGTGCGCCAGGCGGCGGACTACATGCCCGACTGGCAGGTGGAGCGCGTGATGAACACCCAGCTGGGAGCCGACTGGCGCAGCCAGCTCCAGAAGTTCGAGGACAAGCCCTTCGCCGCCGCCTCCATCGGGCAGGTGCACCGGGCCACCCTGCTGGACGGCATGGACGTGGCCATCAAGATCCAGTACCCGGGCGTGGCCCAGAGCATCGAGAGCGACATCGACAACCTGGTCGGCATGCTCAAGGTGTGGGACGTCTTCCCGCAGGGTTTCTTCATCGACAACGTGGTGCGGGTGGCGAAGCGGGAGCTGCAGTGGGAGGTGGACTATGCCCGCGAGGCGGAGTACACCGAGAAGTTCCGCCAGATGATAGCCCCCTATCCGGAGTACTATGTCCCGCGCGTCATCAAGGAGCTGACCACCTCGAGTGTCCTCACCACGGAGTATGTGCCCGGAGTGCCTTTGGATAAGTGCTTCGACTTGAGGTGAGTTGCTGTCCATTTTCCAGACCTGTATCCTCCCTCAAACCCTGCTTGTAATCCCCTCCAGCTACGAGCACCGCCGGCACATCGCCGTCTCCGTCCTGAAGCTGTGCCTGCGCGAGCTCTTCGAGATCGAGTGCATGCAGACGGACCCTAACTGGTCCAACTTCCTGTACGACGCCCCCAGCCGGCGGCTGATGCTGATCGACTTTGGATCGACGCGGTTCTATCGCCACGAGTTCATCCGCAACTACCGGCAGGTGATCATCAGCGCGGCCGAGAACAACCGGCAGGGTGTCCTCGAGATGTCCCGCCAGATGGGCTTCCTCACCGGCTACGAAACGAAGCAAATGGAGCAGGCCCACGTCGACGCGGTGATGATTCTGGGCGAGATCTTCCGCTACGACGGCGACTTTGACTTTGGCAAGCAGAACACCACCGAGAGACTGGCGGCTCTGGTGCCCACGATGGTGGCCCATCGCCTGTGTCCGCCGCCCGAGGAGATCTACTCCATCCACCGCAAGCTCTCCGGCATCTTCCTCCTCTGTGCTCGCCTCAATGTCAAGATGAACTGTGTGCCCCTCTACAAGGAGATAGTCCTGGGCAAGTTCAAGGACTAAAACGGGTGGTCTGTCTGGGTGTCTTTTGTACTTTGTTGGCCTTTTTTGGAAAGCGATAGCACAATAATAGAATGTTTTAAAATAAAAATTTAAAAACCTAAAATACTAGTATTTTTGGTATTTTTTTTAGAGAAAACATCGCAGTTGGAAAAATTAACCCAGAATTCAATCACAAATTAACAAATTTTGATTAAAATCAGGATTTAAGGCCTAAAAACATTTAGTTTCTCTGCTGATATTTATTTTTTCTAAATTTTATTGGAATTTTGTGGTATTTTCTATGAAAACCACCCACATTTAACCGATGTCTCTCATCCCACCGCCTAAAAGTATGCTTTGGTTTATCAAATGTCCTTTGCATTTAATTAATACTTTGTCCTCATCAAACTTTCTCTGAAATACAATTTCCCAGAACCTGTTTATCTCATTTATTTTGCAAAAAGCAAACTTATTTTTCCCCTCATTGGCCACAAAACTAAAAAAAAAAAAAAAATCAACGATTGGTAGGAAAAACTTTTCTAAACTAGCCACCATAATGATACCCAGTACTTGGGGTATGAATAACTAAAATTCCTCACTTTAAACTATAAGAAATTTAAGAATTAAAGACAATTCCCTTTAAAATTTAATTAAAAACTTTAAGAAATGGGTATTTAAGTGAATTTAAAATAGTATATGCCTTAGCCCCGAAGCGATTTCAAGTTCAAGGGTAGAAAATGGGATTTTATCCATGTCCCTGGCACTTGACACTGAAAATGCAAGGCCAAAGTCAAAGGATACGGTCAAAGGATACGGCGATGGCAATGGCAATGGCACAGGATATGGGAAAGTACCTCCCGGATCCGGATGTACTGCAAGTGAAGTAAGTAACTGGGAAAAAAAAATCTAATTTATCTGCGTGCTACTTTTCCCTTTGAGATTGCAGAGAAAATAAAGATGCAACTGAAACGAATGCGACTTTAATAAAAAAGGTTGTGGCTTTCAAAAGAGACATTTATAAATTCGTTTATATAAGACTTTAAATTATAGATAAATTATTGGGAAATTTATAGGAAGTTTTAAAATAAAATAATTTAACAAAATAAAGCTATTTTTTAAATAAAATATTCAAATTCCTTGAAAGATCGCTCACGATCACGATAAATACCGAATTAATACCAAAAACTATCGTTAAAAAATCCCCCAGAACTATGTGATATCGATCCTCGGCTTATCGATTACAGCCCACCTCTAGTTAAAAACAAAACAAAAACAAACAAACATACGCCCGATCGAGACCGAGACCAGAACTTGGTTGCGCACGAACCCAGTTAAAAAAATGTCATAAAATGTAAATGCAAGAATATCTAAGGAATAAAATATCCCTTGATATTTAGATAAAAATAATACGATGCATCGGTATTGGCATAATCGGAAATTGAAATCAAAGTAAAAATCGATCGAGAATATCGCACCGGCGGGCGGCAAAAACAAAAAAAAGAGATCGACAACGAGTCCGTGGAATGTAATAATAATGCAGTGCAAGTGATTGATAAGAATTGTGCATTTTTGTTTTTGGAATTAATAACCGAAAATAATCGAAAAGGCCAGCGAATAAGGTTAACCCTAGTTGTGGTTTACCGTTATGGGTCTGTTTAGTTTCAAATTCAATTACCGTTATTTTAGAAACGTTTTCTAAATATTTGTTTTTTTTTGTATCAATTTTTTTTTTGTCTTTTTTTTTATTTAATAATTTTTTATGGTTATTGTTGTTGTTGTTGTTGAGAATGCAACAATAAAAGAAAGAAGAGGAAACCGAATGTGAGAGGAAATGTGTGAGGAAGTTATAGTTTAATGTTGGTTAGCTTCAATTGTGGAATAAAAAAAAAAGAATAAAAAAAATAATAAAAAAATAATAAAAAAAACAAGCCACCATATAGTGCTGATTGATGTCACAAATACAAAAAAAAAACAAAAACAAATACAAATACAAAGTAAGTAGCCAGACAATTGGATTTGCATGCCGAACGATGAAGAAGAAGAATGAGAATCAGAAGCACTAAGAAGAAGAAGAAGAATGGCCAGAAGAAGATAAAGAAGAAGAAGAAGAAGTTTATCAATGAAAGTGAACTGTGGGGGAGTTGCTATTGTATCTTAAAGTATAAGGGAGTATCTAATAAGGGGGGGAAGATATGTTAACTATGATTTTAATTAATAAATAAAAATTAAAAAAAAATAAAAAAAAATATTAGTTTAAAAAAATCTATAATTTAGAATTTATTGAAAAATATGATATTTTATTAAAGGCTACTCCCCCCCTACTCTTATGTTGCATGCTGATGGGTTCACAGAGCGAGATAGACAGACAGGCTATTATATAGGAGGAGGAGGGGGGAGGGGAGGGGAGGATTATATATAGAAAGATAACGAAATTCCTTCACTCTACTATCCCAACTCGGAATAATTAAATAGAAAACATCGATAGATGTCTGGGGGGGCATCTTTTTTGTGAAATTCATTTATTATTTAAACGCCGAATATTTGCATATTTGTTTAAATATTTGTTGTTTGTTGTGTTTCGGTTTTATTTATTTTTTTATTATATTTTTTGCTATCAAAGCACGTTGGAAACGTCTTAATTATATACACATACATACATAAACATATATATAGTATAAGCGGATGAATAAACTGTTCCAAATTCACATATATATATATTTATGTATGTATATATATGCTGGTATATATATATGTATATTGAGAAATGCTGCAGCAACAACAAGAAAGGCCTCTTGATAATCATATCACGCAGTACACTGATAATTCGCATTGTATTTGTTTGTTATTATTGTTATTATTGTTGTTATTGTTGTTGTTGGTTCTTTATCAGTTCATTCTTTCTCTCTCCTACTCTCGCTCTCTCTCTCTCTCTCTGTCTGTCTTCTGTGGTTGGTTCTCTTTTTTTTTTTTTGGAGGAGGAGATCTCTTAAAAAAAATATATAAAAATAAAATAAAAATAATAAAATAATTTTAGAAATACAGTAGAGTCTCTTCTCGAAAGAACAGAAGAATTCTTCTGGCGATCTCTTCTCTGCCCCCTTATCGCCGCAGTGGAAAGTTTTCATTTCCCATCTCGAACTTAAGGAGGAGGTCTTTTGGGAATCTTTCTTATAGAGAGACTCTCTTTCTCCCTCTCTCTTTCTCTCTCTGTATCTCTATCTCTTTCTAGATTCGAAACTATTGTGTAATTTACATTAACGAGCGGATGTCGTTGGCTTCTACTATATAATGAACCAATTACCCAGTTTGTCTCTTGATTCGATTGCTCTGCACAGCTACACAGATACAAAGATACAAAGATACATATACACACACATAGATACTAATACAGATATAGATACAGATATGTTTGGGTTTTGCAAAGTGACTGAACGAGATTTTTTTTTGTTTTTTTTTTTTGTGGCTAGAGTGCTACTTACTACTACTGCTGTTGCTCTTCCAATTCCCATATCTATATAGTAGATGCCCCCATAACCCCCATAACCAGACCCCTATCCCCCCCCCTACCCCTCTCTCTCCTTGCCAACAATTTCAATTCCAATTTCATTCATGTTGAAGACACCCACTTGAATGATTGTGAGGCACTGCAGATGCTCAGATGCGATGAGATTTGTTTCGCTTTCAGATACAAAGATACAACAGATACAAAGATACATATTTGGGCATCGTCAAGTGACGCTTCCTCATTTGCCGGCTGGTCACCCACGTGCCAAATACTTCAGATATTTCGAATTAGTGGCCATCTATCGTCAAGTGCGAGTCTCAAGGAATGCGATCATCTCTATAAGAAGTTTTCAGATTTTTTTACACCTCAAGATACGTATTTTTGGAGACTATATAGGGATGATCTCAAACATCTCTAAGAAAACTATAAGATATATCTTTAAAGGCCTTAAGTTTAATGAAAGAAAGGTATATAGTTAGATATATAGATAGATCTATAAAATATATAGATATAATCCTTCAAAATCTATCTTCCAGCCTTTAAATAAAAATTTTAATCCCAAATCGAGATACTTTTGCATCCAAAAGATAGAAAACTTCAACTTTCCCTCCAAATATTCAGTTCCAATTGGTATTATATACATGGTATATGGTTTCCCCGCCGATCCTATAATTAGAGATCTGTAATTGTACTCTTATAAGACAGGATTCTACGAACCATCAAGAGAGCTACACTAAAAAAAACATTATATTAATTAATTAAAATTAATAAGAATAATTTGAGAGCAAGTAATTAGAGATTTAAATATTAGTTTTTTTTTCAAAAATTAAAATTAAAATTTAAAATTAGTCTTCAGTTTTTCTTGCAGTGTATAGATATTTGATTGGAAAAAACTATCACTGCAATTTTGTTGGTCTCTTTGGGGTTCGGGCTTGGATATTCATGAGACTGGGCTGCAGATACAGATACAGATACAGATACTATGGAGATGGAGTATCTACACACCTTGTTGTTGTTTTTATTGTTGTTATTATTATTGTTGTTGTTTGTTGGTTGTAATTTTTTAATAACACTTAACAAACACCTTGGACTTGGCATGTAAATTGTTTATAAATTATGTTGGTTTTTTTTATTGTTTTTTGTTTTTGTTTTTGTAATTATTGGTAGTCAGATAACTGGCTATAAGATGACCACATTTGGATATATCTTTTAATGGTATATGTATGATATATATACATATATCTTTGAAGTCCGAAATCGAAAAATAAACAAAAAAACCTCCAAAGATGATTATTCTTCAAAAGATATTACAGATAGCTACAGATACTTTTCAGCTATAGCTACAGATACTTTTTAGCTATAGCTACAGATACTTTTTAGTTATAGCTAAAAAAAAAATGAATAAACAATCAGCCACTCAATTGTAGACTCTGCAAATATTCTGGAATTCGCCACAGGCACGTAGTCTAACAATCGTCCCTCTGTTTGATTGGGATTAACTAAGCCACTAGACTAATATATGTATTAGTGGTATATACATAGTATATAGTGCTATATAGTGGTATATAAAAACAACTGTTTGATTTCTTAGTCATTCCACAAAAAAAAAAAGGAGACTTGTTTGCTG